GGCAGTTTGTACATATTTGAAATCGAAGCTAACTTCGCCGACCAAATGTCGTCATTTTGGTCTTTGGTGACGTGATTATTTTTTGTAAAGCGCCTGACTCTCTGACTCTGTCTCTGTCTCTGTCTCTATCTCCGACTCTGTCTCTGTCTCTGGCTTTAGCTAAGTTTGTCGCCTCGACGGCCACATGACATAATTCTCCATACATGAGATTCTGAATAATGCAATTTGCATGCAATCAACTCATTGAATTTGCCAATGAAATGACGTGAGGCAAACTCAGCGAGCTGCCTTAGAGAATTTCTTATCAATTTCTTATCTATGCAATTTTAGCTTTTAAATTTATGAAGCTAGCTGGGCCTTCGATCATAGATATACATATATCTTAAAAAAAAAAAAAAAAATAGAAAAAAGAGACTAAAAGATTTATCATGTCGTGTGAAAAATATTGCCATGAACAAAAATCTTTATGCTTGGCATAACTCAAGCATAAGTCGTCTAGGGGCAACAGTGGTCACATAATTCTTCACATATATATATACATATATATATACATATATATATATACTTGCGTGATATATGTATGTATATCCATCTGCTTGGCAATGCTGTGCAAATGAGCAAATGTGGTCAAGAGTCAACAATTTCCAGCTACAAATCTAATGAAATGTTGCAAGATTTTACGTTATTTTTGGCAGAAGGCGACATCTGTATTACATACATACATGTACTATATATACACATATAATCATATATATATATATATATACATATATGTATGTGGCACATTGTGCAACTTGTCTCTTTTGCTCCCAGCTTGGAGCACCTTTCTCGCTTTCGCTGTTGCTTTTACCAAAAGGGAAAGGCACCGATCTTTCGCTATTGTTGCAGTCGCTCACTTATCTAATTTGATATGCTCGCTTCTTTCAGAGAATTGGCAATTGGTTGGCTGGCTTTGCATTTCGCCTTGGGCCACTTATCTAATCGACTTCTTTCTTTTGTCTAGCTGCCGTCGCTGAGCTAAGCAACTTCTTGAAAGCGAAAGTTGGGCAAGCTCCGTTAGCTCTTTGCCTGCTTTTCACTGCCAGACAAACTTATCTAAACGAGTGAATACGCTTCTCGCGCCAACGTAACTAGCTTATCTAATTAATTGGGAATCCAGTTCTCCCTTGCCAACTCACTGAGCTATTTGCTCAAGAACTGCCGTAGAGAAATTTATCTAGTCTCATAAGTACGCTTCTCGCTTCTAACTGAATTGAAAGTTGGGCTTGTTCGCTTCCTCGCATCTTCTCTTCCTGCAAGTCCATCATCCATGATTTTCCTTATTTGCTAGCTACAAAACTTATCTAATGGCATGCTAAAAACCGTTTGCTGTAGACTGCTTGACTTTCTGTCCGAGACAAACTTATCTAAATTAGTCTCACTTCAATAAAACAAGCTTATCCAATAAATGTAGATAGCTTCTCTCTGTTGAATCAGCTAAGCTATTTGCTGTCTTAACGGTAGCTTACTACTGGATAGTTTTGCTGTCTGCTGCAAGCTTATCTAGTCCAATGGTTACGCTTCTCGCTTCTACCAGGCACGCCGGTGCCTATATCCACTTTAATAGCTGCTCTTTGCTTTCAGCTAATCTGCAAGATTAGTTAGAGACGGCATTCTAACTTATTTAATCGCCACACTTATTCAATCGATTGCTATGGCTTCTCTCTGCTGCCGCACGCAACTTCTTGAAAGCGAAAGTGAGACAACCTGCTGTGCCGCTCGCTGCCCGCCACCCGCCGCCCGCCACCCGCCGCCCGCCGCCCGCTGAACTCGATTGAACGCTTAGTCAAGTTGAAGGCTTTCGGTGGCTTTGGCCGACTAAATAAACCCGCCTTGGCGGCCAATTTCATTTTGGTTTATCAGCTGACGTTTGTTGCTTCAATTCGAATTTCGAATACAACAACGAGTTTTACATGCAGATGCGTGAGCGTTCACTGCGTGTTTACCTTTCACACCCACACGCAGAGTAAGAGAGAGAGAGAGAGAAGAGAGAGAGAGAGAGGTAGAGAGTTTCTGGGCCACAGACAAGTGGAACGCCCCACGCTGCATTGCCCCTGGATGGTTGGCGGCGCCGTAGTTAGTGAAAGTTCAAGGCTGCAGCAAACACACTCCCCACACACACACACACACACACACACATGCACACGCACACAATGAACAATAGCTTACCTGCATATTTCAATAATTATGTACATAGACAAGCAAATAAATTCGCACAAAGCTTGTTTAAACTTTGCTGTTTGATAAAGAACATTTTCGCCAGTCTCCCTTTCCCCTCTCTCCGCCTGTCTCTCTCTCACTCTCTCTCTCTCTCTCTCTCTCTACCTTGCTGTTAATCGCATCAAGTTCACATATTTGTACAAATGAATTAACATATATGTATTTGCCAATGTACTTTATTGGCGCTCGACAAACACACAAACTCCGGCATTGTCCTTTGCCCAACAATTGCATTCACTTGCGATTATTTGCTCATGCTTTACATCTGTTTCCATTGAACTTTGAGGCACAATGGCCTCCAGTCCATGGCGCACAGGTGATCAGATCTCCAACTGCATCCACAGTAGTCGACGGAGCTGCTGCTGCTGCTGACTATCGGAATGGAGGGTATAAATTCGATCACTGAACCTTTATAGCTCCCCTCGATGTCATTTTCCATAAAAGGCTTCGATAATGTCCTACTGATTTCCATTAATTACACACACATACATGCATAGCAAAACTTTCGGCAACTGTTTCACACCGCACTTTATTTTGATTTCCATTTCTCTCTCTCTCTGTCTCAATCTCAGTCTCTATCTCTCTCTCTTTCTCTCTCTCTGTCTCTATCTCAGTCTCTGTCTCTCTATCTCTCTCTCTCTCTCTCTCTCTCCCTTTCCACCTCCCTCTATGTCTATTCTCTGTTTCTCTACTTGACTATGTTTTCTTCCACTCTCTTGACTATGTTTTCTTTACTCTCATATTCTTTCATTCGCTGCCTACTTCAGTCTGTCTTTTACTTTTCCCCGCTTTCTCTCTCTTTCTCTCCTCTCTCTCTCTCTCTCTCTCTCTCTCTCTGTCTTCCTGCATTGCCCTTAATATTTTTCCTCCACTCTCCTCATTTTTTCTCCTCTCTCTTTCATCCTTTATATGTATTTTCTTGCACTCACACTCTGCCTCACTCTCATTTTCGCACCATTTTCCTCTCTTTCTTCTGCTGTCACTCTATCTGCCTCACCTCTGCTTTCAGTCTTATCTCGCTCTCTTTCTTACCTTTCAATCTTACATTCTCACTCTCTCGTACCTATCTACTATGCCCAACCCTTCCTATCTCAGCATTTAACTATCTCAATATATTTCCCTATCATTATCCTTTATCCTATCGCTATCTCTGGCCTGCTTCTTATAGCAGTCTCTCTTTCTCTCTCTCTCTCTCTCTTTTCTTCCTTTTCACTCTTTCTCTTTCTATTCATTGAACATGAGTACTTTGAATACTCGCTCATGGATTTGAAGAGTATATAGGTTGTATACATTATTTCTTGAGCCCTTCGCGATTCGGCACAGCTTAAGATGTCATCGAATTGGCACATGATATTTTACTGAGCTCTTCTTCTTCTTCTTCTCTGTTTAACATAGGCAATCTTGGCTGTAGTCGCTAAACGGCTGTCGGCACTATGTGGCAATTGGCAATAAAGAAACTTGTTTAGCTTCGACGCAAACACCCTTGGGGGCGCCGGCTAATGCGACGGCGCACTCAACTCCAACACCAACTCCAAATTCAGCTCCAAACACTCAAACATATTGCCAAAATTGCCTGTAAACTTGTGCATCAACTAGATGGTTAATGTGTGTGATGGGCGGTTGGCCAGGCTGTCACACCACTTTCAAAATATATGTATATAAAAAATGAGATAAAAACTAATACGAAAAAAATCAGTTTTTTTTTTTTTTTGAAAATGCAGAAAAACTTGTGGGCTGAAATTAACGGCAATTTGTTGGGGAGTCTCTTATGAGAGTGTTGCATGTTGCATATTGCATGACGACAATATATCATTTTTTTTTTATTTCTCTCTTTTTATGATGTATGTAGGCGTAGCTGCATTTCCTCGATGTTACCCAATCCGGAAAATTCAAAGACTAGACGCTCGCAGGCAGCACGAACAGGCGCCGTTATGATTGAGTAATTACGAGCAGATAGGCGCGCACATAGGTGAGTATTAATTATAATTATACTAAGGCAGGTAGCTGGAAGACTTGCAAGTATTTGTGGCGTGGCGAGATTTGGCCAATACGAAAAAGCAGCTCGAGACTCTTTGGCGCTTGTTGTTGGCCTTTGATCAGTGTTTGATGACTTTCACTAATGCATATTTTGACCACGGCTGCTATTAGCATAGGTCTGTTAAAATTTTAGATATTGAATAATTGATGTACATATGTATGTATATGTGCTTGTCGAGTTTGGTCACCATAGCTCATACTTTTATACTTTTTAAACTGCGCGCAACATCAAAATCTCAGTTTGCATTCTTTCACAATGTGAATGGCAATTTCTAGTCGCTTCTCTTTATTCTCTACTGCAAATCATAACAGCCCTGTGCGAATGAGCTAGACAGCAACATCGTGGCTACACACAGCAACAACTCTCGCTATCTCACTCTCCCTCCTTAACAAAGCGCGAATTGAAGGATGCAAATCAAAACTGAGAGGCGAGCAGCCAATACGCAAACTCACTCGGATGAAAGCTTTCAGTCGTGGCTACACGCAGCAACAGCTCTCGCTGTCTCACTCTCCCTCCTTAACAAAGTGCGAATTTAAGGATGCAAATAAAAACTGAGAGGCGAGCACCCAATACGCAAACTCACTCGGATGAAAGCTTTTACAGGAGCTTAACTCAATGGAAGCTCTCAGTCATACACTAATACTACTAATACTGCGACAGCAGGAGGCAAACATAACAGAATTGAGCAACTTAGAAAACAGGATTTTCCATACATTTCGCAATATTACGTTATTAATATTATTGCGATACTACATGATCATCTTTATATTTGTAATTTTGCTTTGATCACTGTTCAGGCTTAATCGTACAAAATGTATATATACACAAATGCTGCCTAAAGTGTTTCGAATTAAGCTTTTCAGTTTTTCGAGCATATAATCGCTTGTTGCTTAACTCACTACGATGCAGTGCAACATAATTATATTCGTTACATTTACATATATATGTATATAAAAAAAAAAGATAAAAGAAAATAGTAAGAGATGGAAATATACAAATAATAAACGCCATTTAAAACAAATCAACAAAAAGTGCACAAACGCTGCCAGCTCTTAACGGCTAAACGGCTACGAATGTCGCCGGCTATTGCTGCAAACAATACTCGAGCGCATTTGGAAGAAATTTGTCTCACGTTGGCCTAAGGTACGAGCTATGTATGTATGTATGTACTCGCATCGCATTGCTAATTATTGGCCGATGTCGATGCTGTTGCTGCTGTTGTTGCTGTTGCTGGTGTTGTTTGTTTATAAATGATGCCAGTTATATCGCCATCCTTTTGTATGACACAGCGCCTGCAAAAGGATAGAAACAATAATTAAATGGGTGCCTGCGAATGGGCTAACGGATGTCTGCTTACTTATTGCCACTGTACAGACAAACAGTGGCCGGAAGAGTGCTGTTGGGCTCCAGCTTGGCCACCTGCTCGGATATGGCCATTCCAATGCCAGAGACGTTGGGATTAATGTTGCCCTTGGCTGTGCAAAAGTTGAAGGAAACGGCAAAAACAATCAACAACAATAAAATAAAGCAGACTTGTTTACGACAGATTAAAGCATACATATATGGACATGCACACACACACATGCACACTCTTGCATGCATGTAATGATAATGCTTTTTTTACTTCACTCACCGCCCAAGCAGAGGCCTTGCCGATTCGCCACTAAGGCACCCACGGTGTCTTGTTGTGTTAAGCTGCAAGGATCAAGTGATTAATAGTTTGGATGGTTTATTATTATGCAATACGTACATTTCGCTCAACACTTTTTCCAGTTGCTGCTCCATTTGTTTAACTTCAATTTACCAACAATTGTAAAAACGAAAACAAAGAATAAACCAAAACAATGCTAATTCCGAGTTGGACTATCGAAAGCGTTGGCTATCGATAAATGGGGGTGGCCACAGATTGACTTTAGTGTTGCAAAATACGTCGAGTCTAGCACGAGCGCCACTTGCAGTACTTACTGAAAATCAATTTGAATTTAAGCGTTACAATAGATTCAAATACAAAATAAACAAAAAGTAATAATAGTCGAGTTGTTATTAACATATATTTTATTGCCGTTTGTATGCAGACGACTGCATTAAATCAAATTCTCGTTTACAATGCCAAATATATTTAACAATTTTTATGGTTTGAAATCAAAATATAAGCTACATACCGAACATTTAATAAAATATGTGTGTATTTTACCTTATGTATTATACTCTATGATGATGGTTGTGGAGCACGCCCATTTGGAATTACTGTTAGCCATGTTGCGGCTGGATGCGTGCTTTAGGTCGAAATATAGCTTTAACATTTATAATCGTACATAATGCGATAAATCGCTCAAAAATATAAGGGTATGTATTGATACTAGGTATACTACTACTGCCGATAGTGTATTTCTCATTTTTCATGTTGTTTGTGTGTGTGTGTTTCTTTCTTCAGTGTATATGTATATGTATGTGTGTGTGTGTGTAGTTTAAACGATTTCGTACTTCTCCACGAATAGAATCGTTTCACTTGAATACTTGACAGACGAATCAGTGTCAACCTGTACTACATCCAGCGCACTAATTGCCGCATACGGCGTCTTTGAGACAAACGACACTTGCAAGGGGAAGAAGTCGCTCGGTATGGAGGCACTGCAACTGAATTCCATTGATCCCGACTTATTCTCAGCATCGATGATGGGAATGTGCCACTGCAGCACATGCTTGCGTGCATCATAGTTGTAGGTACCATCGTATTCGGCCACAGAGGGCTGGACGTTCAAGCTGCAATAGGAATGGATTACCATTGAGATAACCATATGGATGGATGGCTAATGATTATTTCCTTACGGCAATGGTATAACGATGACGACATCCTGCAACTCCAGATGCTGTGTCTCCAGTTCATATTCAATGTTCACATCGCAGCCGCCTTCTCCGTTGTCCGATGGCCAACAGTTAACTGCACGGAATGGATTAGAGAGAGACAGATAGATAGTTAGTTACTAATACAGAAAGCAGCCGAAAACGGATGAGCTCACTGGTCAAAGGAATGGCCGATTCGTCCTGTGTAATGAAGCGCCACTTGAGTACGCCCACATCGGTGTTGAGGGGGAACGGCTTGGCTGGATTCTTGAGTCCGATCATGGCGCGTGTCTTGAATAGTTCCTTGTCAACATTCGGATGTGTCTGCAGCTGTATGCCCTGTGTATCATTGTTGGCCAGCTTCACCTTGATCCGTCCCAGATTCTCGTCGGTAATGCGCAGCGTTAGCAAGCCGCTAAGCTCGAACTGTTGTACGCCGCCATCACGGCCCAGACGCACCACCAGCTTGTCTTCCATTTTGAGATGGACACTGGAAAATAAATGTAGTTTATATTTATGTGGTCAAAGGGACAACGCAACTCATTCCATTACCTTTCTGTATGAATGTCCGCGGAGATTTTAGCCTTTGCCGCTGCACTGGCGCTGGCCGCTGCACCGGCACTGCCCGCTGGCACAGCTGGTGCCAGGTTGGCAATCTTCTCGCCCTCGCTCTTCAACTGATCAACAAAGCTGTCCACGTCCTTGGACTTGCCGCCTAATTTGAGCGCATTGCGCGAAACAGGCTTTCTGCAAGCGCGATAACAATGGAGAGAGAGGAAGAGAGAGAGAGATAGAGAACATATTAATGTAGATTATATCCCATATCAAGAGTTGCTATCAATATTAGCTTACATTGCCGGCTTGCTAGAGGAGGACATATGCTTGGTCTCCATCTCAATGGATGGTGCACCGCTTCCGCTGCCAATGCCAGTGCTGATGCCACTGCTGCCAAAGCTGTCTGAGCTGAAGCCACCGCTGCGTCCGCCCATGCCGCCCATGGAGGGGCCACCGCGCTTGGTGGCCTCCATGCGTTGACGCTGCAGCTCCTTGGCCTTCTCACGCATCTTCTGGCGTGCCTCGCGCTCCTGTGTCTGACGCACGGCCTGGTAGACCTTCTCCTCGTGCGAATCCATCTCAACGAATGTCTTGATTTGCGCCAGATTCACGCTCTCCCTATAGCCAAGGGCAACAATCTCGTCAAAGGCAAATATCAAATTGAATGCATTCTCCACAATCTCCTTCTCGTCCAGCGAGTGACTGTACTCTGGGATCTGCGTGGAAAGCATATATAAATGGAAATTTGAAACAGCTATTGCATATTAGTATGCACGCACCACTTTGGAGAATAGACGCAGCGTTTCCAAGTCCTCCAGTATATTGCTGGCCTTTGTGGTTATGAGCAGCATATAGAGTTTCTCCATCGGCTGATAGACGTAGCGCACCGAGTCTGTCTCCACGTACGTGTGCTGCTTGCCGGCGGTCATCAGCTTGGGGAATGCTGCCAGCAGACCCTCGATGCGCGCCTTCGTCATCTCCACGAACTGACGTGACAATATGACTGTGTGTGTATGTGCGTGTGCGTATGCGTGATGTTGGAATGTGAAAGTGTGAGGTTAGACATTTAAACAGTTTAAGTAAACAATATTAAGTGATTGACTTACCTTTGCCATTCTTTGTGCAGACTGCTGCAGCAATGAGTACCTGGGATTAATCAAACACAAATGAGATAAGCAAAACAGCCGACGTAGACGTATGTACGTTTGTGTGTATGTGTGTGTGTGTGTGCGTGTCTGTGCGGGCTTACCATTTTGATGCAGCGGTAATTGAATCAGCTAACGAATACCTGAAAATACCTAGCTGTAATGTATGTAGTTCGAACGGTAGATTTACTGATTTGGAATGATCAAAACAAATCGCTGTTAATCAATCCGCATCCGCGTAGCTGACGTGTTCGGTTCTGCAACTAAATGTTTACGATTGCGTGCGTATGTGTGCTAGAGATGGCAGCGCGAATAGCACAGGCAGTCAGTTCTTGCTATCCCAATTGATTCGATTGAATATGCGGCAAAATCGAGAAGGTGCTATAGTAACGTGTTTACTTATCACTAACAAATTGAAAACATGGTGCATCCTGCATGTGCATTTAATTTTGTAATTTTTAATTCATCAAACTATAGAGCACTTAAATCGAATCTCTATTTTGCTGCCGGTAGTGTGTGCTATCGATAGTATCGAGTGTCTATCGCCACCGCTGACACAAGCCGATTACTTGCACAACACTTCAAATGATAACACAAATCAGGTTGCAGTTGCTTATTCGAGTACGGTTTATTTAAGTTATAAACGAATGCTTAAAGTACTTTACATACTGACGTCAACTAAAAATACACACGTTTGTACATCAATACAAACAGCTGTTTACTGCATATACATATCTTCAACTGAATCCTAAAGTTTTTTTTTATGGTTTTTTCGAATGTTCATAATTTCTAATCAATAACATAAATGGCTTTCTTCGATTTGATTTCTAATCAGTAGTCAAAGACAAATTTGCCATTTGTTCGGCGACGTCTAACTGATTAGCAAGGGCGGCCTTTTTCTTGGCATACTCGGCACCCAGAATGCGCATCACATTTGCAGCCCCAAGATTGTCACGATTGTACTTCTGAAAGTTATCCTTAACGAATTTGGCAAAGCCCACTGGTGGGCGCACCGGAGTCTGTTCAATGACGCCCATCTTGTTTTTCTTGTTTATATATAGATCAATTGGAGTAAGACAGAAGCGACAGCGTAGATCGCTACACTTGCGCGACTTGGAGTGAGCGTGTGATCTGAAATAGAAGAGAGAGGTAAACTCCGAAATGAGTTCTTATTATCTATCAAATGGTAGGCTACTTACGCGGCTCCGCAGTACCTGCATTTATAAGTGTATTTAAATTCAATTTCGTAGTTGTGGCAAACAGTAATCGGCGGCAAATCTGGAAACCTTTCCATGGCACGCTTTGCCCAGTTCTTCCAAATGACGCCATGTCCGGTGGCCCCGTTGAACACCCATGCAGCGGCATGGCATAGCTCATGAATTAGAGTTGAGCGAAGACGATCGGCACTGGTGAGCACCTTGGTGCTCAGCTCGATCCTGCTGATGCGCACCCCATCCGAGCTGCAAAGCAAAAGAAAAAAAAAGAAGAGATTCTCGGTGGCCGCTCCACAATGATCTCATTACTTACATGGTCTTGTTGCGGCAAGTGCCGGCCGTGTTACGCAGCCTGGGCGACCAGGAGACTTGCACATCTAGTGATTCATTGAATACGTGAGTATTATACAAATTGTATAACACAGTGGTCAGACGATCCTTGACTCTGGCGTAGTTTTCACGATAGTAATATGCTTCACGGTCACAGAACTCACGGCTGATCTGTGGCTCCAGGGACTTCAGGAAGCCACATGGCTCAGACATTACGATCTCATTCATGACTGGCTCAGCTCTGATTGGAGCTGGAGTGGTGGGTCTTGGTGTCCGCTTCTTAAATACGGGCTTAGCTTTAGGCGTTGCCACTCCCATTCCGAGCTGTTTCTTCACCTCCTGGATGCGCTTATGCACGTTAGTGCCCGGTAAATAAATAAGCTCCAATTGCTCCAAACTATTCAGATCGAGCGCCTGATCAACTATTTTGATAGCTTCACTGCTGTCCTCGTAGCCTGTATTGGGCGTAAATAGCTGCCGGCGTGTGGGATTCGATGGGGCTGGTGTTGTGACTGGCGTCACTGGCGTCGCTGGTAGCTTCGGTTTATCTGTGGCCCGATACTTCCGCAAAATATCATCCAGTCGTTTGTGTGGCTTGGATGCTGCGTGGTGTGGGACAAAGTATGTGAATGTCGTTCTCTTACAGAAGCTACCAAATCCACGTAAAGAGCTTTGTTATATTTAATAAACTATAAATCGATGGTCCGCGCGAGTTTGTTTCATTGGATATCTTGCGCTTTCTCAAAATTCCGATTTTCCGTTTTAATTTTTTTTTTTTTTTTTTTTTTAAGGAATTTTTGACTAGCTTGCACAGCCTAACAAGAGTCACTGACTGCTCTAAGCTGAATGATGGCATACGAACAGTCAATGGAAAGCCTACCTCGAATCAGTTCTAAACTAAAAGTCATGGCTCACTAGATCTGCCCAATCCCAGTATACTCACATCCAGTATCCGGCTCATCCGGATCGCTGACCACCTCGACCTCTTTCTTGGTCAGATCCAAGTAGGTTAAGTGACCGTTCTCCTGCTCCTCGCCATCACTAGCCTCACTGCTCTCCGTGGCATTGGCATCGTCGTCATCCGAGGCATCCGTGCCACTGTCCGTATCGATCAGGGCCCGCCAGCGTTCCTCGTCAATGTGTTTGGTGCGCACCTGCGGCCTGCCAGGACGCCTCTCGCTGCAGATGGCCCTGGGCAGTTGCGTGGAGTTGAACTTATTGGAGTTTAGAGCCCGCCTAACTGAGGAATCGGGAAAATATTCTTAGAATAGATATATATGCTTTATGTGTATATTATTAAATATTTACATATGCTAAAGTCGCCCACGGCGCTATCGTTGGGCTGGGCCGCCGGGGCCGCCTTTTTAGCTGTCGCTGCCTTGGGTTGCCTAGGCTGGCGCTTGATCTCGGTGAGCGGCGCACGTCTTGCCGCTCCAACGGACGCAGTTTTGCCGCCGCTGCCGCTGGAGCGTTTCAGTGTTCGTATGACATCCGGAGTTTGCCAGGATTTGCCATACAATTGATTCAACAGCTTTTCAGCTTGTGTCAGAAATTGCTCATCTTCCGAAGCATCGCTGCCTAGCACAGAGCACTCTCGCTCTTGCTGCTGCTCCTGCTCCTTCTCCTTTTCCCGCTCCTGCTCCTTCTCCTTCTCCCGCTCCTGCTCCTTCTCCCGCTCCTGCTCCTTCTGCTCTTGCTGCTTGCATGAGTCAGCGCGCTCCTTTGACGTCGGCGTCGTTTCTATAATGCTCTGTTCCACTTCCGAGCTCGAGTCCAGCGTGGGTATGTGTATCTTAATGTTGATCTTTGCCGATATATTAATGCTGCTCACTTGTATGGCGGCCGAATGCACCGATTCCTCTGGCTCCGCCGATGAGGTAGAGACGGGTCTAGGCGGCGAGTGCTCCAGCTCGCTGCTGGTCTCCGGAATAGTTTCATCCAGAGCTGTCTGTTGGCCGGATACATCGGATAGCGGCACCTCCAAGTCGGGTGTGTTTACCTCTGTGTCATCGTTTGCCAGCCGCTTGCTGCTATCCTCGGAGCACACTGTGTTGACCTCCGTATCGTTGTCCGCCAGGCGTTTGCTGCTATTCACTTCCTCCTCGGAGCACACGGTGTTCAGCTCTGTATTGACCTCCGTATCGTTGTCCGCCAAGCGTTTGCTGCTATCTACTTGTTCCTCGGAGCACACGGTGTTGACCTCCGTATCATTGTGCGCGAGGCGTTTGCTGCTATCCACTTGCTGCTCGGAGCAAATTGGACCGATCTCCGTATCGTTGTCCGCCAGACGTTTACTGCTATCGGCCTGCCACTGAGACACGGACAGCAGTTCCGTGCAGTCCACGTCGCCTATGCTCATGGATTCCGTGTCAGCACTGGCCAGCCGTGTGATGTCGCCTAACATGTCCGCGCAGCCACGACGTAGGATCTCACGACGCTCAAAAGAGACGTCACGCAGAAACGCTTCTATGCGCTGCACCTTGACATTGGATAGGTTAGGTGCTGTTGGAGGCAGTTGCTCGCTGACCGCCATGCTCGTCTGCTCCGGCTCCCTGTCAACAGTTTGCTGCTCTCCATGCTCACTTACACTGCTATCTGATATGGTAATGCACGAAGCACTATCGTCGTCACTTTCTGCAGTGGTTGATGAGATGCAAATGGATTGCTCCTGCGGCAGCCCCTTCTCGGGCTGCATTGTCAGATTGGTCACCTGCGTGGATAGGGCTTCCACATCCACGTCGATTGTCTGCTGTGTGCAGCTCATATGGAGCGTTTCCATATAGTCGGACACATCGAGCTGTGACCTGGCGTCGTCTGCCTTTGGCGTGTGCTCCTGACCCATTGCGTGGGACGATGAGGAATCGCTGCGCAGCAGTGGATGCTCGTAGGATTTGGCAGCCGCCAGATCATTTAGTTCGCCCAACAGTTGGCGACTCACGTTACTGCTTTTAGTTGATTGCTGCTCTGGCTGAGGCTTCGGTTGTGGCGTAGTTTTTCGTGCTAACTGTTGTTTCTTGTTCGAAGAGAGCGTCAGTTTGGCGAATTTCTCCTTGATCGGCACGTTGACGGTCGTCGGATCAACTGATCTGAAAAGCTTAAATCCATTCGGATCCGCCATTTTGTTGACGTTCTTTAAACTAAATAACTGTAAAAATGCAGCAGAAGAATGGCAATGCAAAACGTATCACAAATAAAAATACAAATCTATCGCGGGCGTCCAAACAAACTTCATCCGCTTGATCCAGTGTTGGATAAGTAGTTCGTGAACCAGTGAACTGTTTGAATTTCTTATTGCAATTATTAAAAGTTCTTACACTTTGCCTAAGGCGAAAGACTATATAAGTAATTAATTAGTTTTAAAATATTTTACACTTAAAATATGTATAGCTCTATACAAATAAATATATATCCTTTATTTGTGAGTCTAGAAAAAACTGGAAAACATTTAAATCGGCAACGGCTGCATGCAATTACCCAGCACTATATATCGTTTATTACTACCGGACACTTCTTAGAAACATCGATAAGTTACGGCGGCACCTTGGTCAAAGACAATAACAGAATAAGTTTTTGTTTCGTTTGTTTGTTTGTTTTGAGCACCTGTCGCAATGGCTGTCAGTGCCATCGGCTCCCTGTCTTCCAAGTTATCCCTGGGCCTGCTCAACTTTGTGCTGGCCGTCAGTTCCGGCTGGGCACTGAAACACTACAGCATCGGCCGGTACGCGCTAGCCGCATATGGATTATTATTTGCACACAGCTTATTCTGCATTCTGCACTGCACGCATCCCAATCCCGGCCAGGTGCAGCGACGCATTTGCGAGCTATCACTACGCTATTCGCCAGTCATCTTTGTCACGCTGATCGTCGGCCAACTCCAGAGCTTCTTTGTTGGCCCGCAACCAATCTTCGCTGGCAGCTCCAGCTGGCATCCCATTGTATTCAGTTTATACATCAGCCTCTTGGCGCTGGTTAGCGTGCGCAGCTGCCTCAACGAGAAGTCGAAACTGGCCAATGTCTTGGCCCGGCTGGAACGCCTTAATCTCGCGCTCTGTGTGTTGTGGAATGTGTTCTGCCTGTGGCACATTGCCATCGCCGATGAGTTTTGGTGGTCCTTGGGCTTGGCCCTGTTGGTGCTGCTCAATCACTTTGTGCTCTGGCGGCTAACACTGAGATACAACATCTCACCCCTGGAGGTCGGAACAGTTGGCATGTGCTTCTCCGTCATATTTGGCATTAATGCAGCCCAGGAGATGATCGAGAGCAGGAGATGATGATGATGAAGAGGATCACGAATCGATGACGATGGGACCAGGCAATCTTGTTAACCAAATGTTGGATTGATGCTGCATTTAGCACAACACCTCGAGACATATTTATATTAATTAAGAGTTGATGTTTTTTATATACATATATACTTGTTAATATGCATTTCATTCGAATGCATATTTAGTCAATAAACGAACATTTTTATATGCGCAATCTGTGTGGAATAAACACTCGGTAATTGATCTAAATACATGTGCATCGTTGCATTTTATTAGGATTACATAAATATATACTGTGAAGTTCATCCATTGATGATGGTCGAAAGCCCTTAGAACATTTAGCCGAAGATAATGCGAGACTTTGCTTGGCCAGATCAAGTACGAGAATTACTACAATATAGACAATCTTTAGGCTTAACAAATATATAGTTTTAAGGAAAGTCCAGTTTAAAATCAAATTTCTATATGTAGTAAGAGTTATTCCAGTAAAGAAATAAACACTATACGCCTAATCACTAAGAAATGCTTGAATGTAGAAAGAGTGGGAAGATATGGGGCATGGAGAAGTGGGAGCGAGACAGATCGAGTCAGTGGGAGATGGAAGAGGAGGAGGGAAAGCAGCAGACGCATCTAGGCGTGTGTATTGTCATCCTCGACAAAGTCCTTGGCCTGCTCCCGGGTCACGCAATCAATGTGGCTGACCTTGTTGCGAAACCGCACGCCGTAGAACTTATGGGCATTCTCCAGCAATTCGGGCCTAAATGTGGTGGTAATAAACTGGGCTGTGTCGCTCAGCTCGTGTATCATGTCAGCCACGGCCTTGCGATGCATGGCATCCAGAGCCTGTCAAAAAGAGATGGAGAGAGAGAGAGAGAGAGAGATTAGCATATGGGCATTCAAATCCCAACGGGTCAACTACTCACCTGATCGATCTCATCGAATAGATAGAAGGGCGCTGGATCGCATTTCTGTATGGAGAAGATGAGGGCGAGGGCAACCAGAGATTTCTGTCCGCCGGATAGCTGATTCATTTCACGCATCTCGGCATCGACGCCCGTAAAGGAGACCCGTATACCAATGCCCGTGAAGGCATCCGAATTGGCCACCTCCTTCTCCATTTCCTCGCCCTCGTTGTCCTTTGTCTTCAGTATCAAATATCCGGCGCCTTGGGGCACCAGCTTCTTGAACACCTTGGTGAAGTTCTGGGCCACCTGCCGGAAGGTGAACTGTATGGCCTCGACCTTTTGCATCTCCAGCGATTGGATGAGCATGTGAATCTTCTGGTCGCCCACATCCAGCTCCTCCTTGCGCCTGTACAGCTTCTCCTTTTGCTCCGAGAAGCTAAGGAACTGATCGAGCGCCTTCTTGTTCACATGGTTGTACTTCTTCAGATGCTGATTGGCCTTCTCCAGCTCCTTGAAGATGTTCTTCAGCGAGATGCGTGTGTAGGCGGCATCCACCTGGGGCAGTGCACCCAGGCTGGCGATCTTCTCGGTGCACTCGTCGATCTTCTGGTTGAGCATGTTCTCTTTGGTGGTCCATTTCTCCAGTTGTTTGCTATCCTTGTTGATGTTCTCCTCGGCCTCCTTCTCCTTGCGCACATAGGTCTCCAACTCCAGCTGCAGCTCCTTCTGCAATTGCACGGCCTCGTTGACACGCTTCTCAATCTCCTCCAGGTCTGCATTGACCTTCTTGATGCGCTTCTCCGTGGACACCAGCTCCGTCTTGCAATTGTTCAGCTTGCGCTTGCGATCCTCCACGGAGATCTCCTGCAGCGCCTGTATCAATTCGTCCCGCCGCCTAAATAGATTGTTGATCAACAGATTATCCAGCTTATTCTTGCGCACCTCCAGCTGCATGCGCTGGGTGAAGGCCTCCTTGTTCTCCTGGTTGAGACGCCGGATGTCATCGTTCAGCTGATCGATCTCACGCTGATCCTGCACGGAGAGCGTGGACATGAGCTCCTGCTTCAGCTCGGCCTCCAGGCTGGCCTTGGTGCTGTTCATCGCCTCCAGCGAGGCCTTGCACTGGGCCAGCGAGCGCTCCTTGGGCGCCCGATACTTCTCGATGCGCACCAGCTCCTCCTTCATCAGCCGGATCTCGCCCTGCACCTTCTCGAAGGCATCCTTCGACTTGCCCTGCTTGGTCTCCGTCTTCTGCATCTCGGACACAATCGAGTTGATGTTGTTCTCCGTCGACTTCAGCTCATTGCGCAGCTTGCTCAGCTTCTTCTCGAATTCGGCGATCTGTTGCGTGTACTCCGTGCGCTTCTTCTGCATCTCCAGGCGCGAGCGCGACGTATTGAAGTAGCCGCCGGTGAGCGAACCCTTCGACGACACCTGGTCGCCGTCGAGTGTGACACAGTCGAGACCCGTGCTCTTGGCCAGTTCCGTGGCCCGCTCCAGATTACGGCAGATGAGGGTCTTCCCGAATATATAGCGCAGCGCCTTGTCGTGCTGCTCGTCGTACTTCAGCTTCGATATCATCGGAATCGAGTCGGGATCGTCCGGATAGTCGTGCACCTTCACCTGCAGCCGATTCAGCGGCATGAACGTCACCTCGCCGGGCAGCTTCAGTTTGTTCATCTCCTTCAGGATCTGTGTGCCCTCGTATTCCGATTCGACAATGTGATGGAACAGACGATTCGCTGCGGTCACCTCGACGGCCGTATAGATCGTCTTATCGCAGCTAAAGTTCTCAATCACCGGACCGTAATATGCCCGAGCAATTGCCGCCGACTGGCCGCCGCGCTCCACGAAGCTGTCGAGCACCTTGCGCACTGAGTCGCAGCCATTGAGGATGGGCTTGCCGGCCATGCTGCGCAGCGCTTGATCTGCACGAGACAGCTCCTCCTTTTGGGTCTGCAGCTGCTGGGTCATCTGGGTCTCCTTGCGCCACAGCTCGTTGCGCATGGACTGATACTGATCCTTGGTCTTCTTCAGTTCGTAGTACTTTTTGTTGTGCTCGTCGATCTGGAGGCGCAGCTGTTCCAGCTCGGAGGAGTGCTCCTCGATCTTGGTGCCCAGATCCTTCTCGGACGTGGCATCCTTCTTGAGGTCCTCCACCAGTTTGGCGTGATGATTGATTTTATCCTTGGTCTGTTTGCTGATCGATTTGAGCTCATTGTGGATCCACTTGTCACGATCCTCGCGCGACGAGAACTGCGAGCCACGCCCCTGTTTGGCATAGAGCTCCTTGCGCTTCTGCTCCTTCAGCTGCAGCTCGCGCGAGCAATCCTCCTCCTTGCGCTTCATCGCCTCGTACTTGGGCTTCACTTCGTCCAGTTCGTGCTCACGCTCCGCTATCGTCACCTTGAGATTCTTGAGCTCCTGATCGGCCCGCTCCTTGGACTTGTTGTCGCCCTGCACCTCGTCATTGAGATCGACAATGGTGAGGTCCAGTTTGGTCTTTTCGCGCAGCAACTGCTGCTGTTCGGTCATCAGGACGGAGCGCTCCTCCTTTGTACTGAGCACCTTCTTCTTGGCCTCCTTCAGATTCTTTTGCACCTCCTTGATCTTCTCCTGCGCCTTCTGTATCTCAATGTTGTAGTTCTTCTTTTTGTCCGATGAGGATTTACGCTGCAGCTGCAGCTCCTCGAGAGCGCGCCGTGTGTCCTTCAGCTCCGTCTCGTAGCGTATATACTCGAGAGTGCGTCGTGTCTTGTCCCATTTCTGGTACTCCTTAAGCTCCTCCTTCTCCTCCTCGAGCGTCTGCAGCCTGTCTTCGATCGTCTTTAGATATTCACTGATTTTCTCCACTTTGCCATCGGTTTCTCGCAGCAGATTCAGGGACTCCTCCTTGCGCTCATCATAGACCCGCGTGCCCGCCACCTCGCGCAGCAGCTTCAATCGATAGGAGTCCGCAGCGGTGGCCATTTGATTGATCTTGCCCTGCTTGACAATGTAGTAGGGATTGGAGCTGGAGAAACCAGCCGACTCCAGCAGATTGACGACCTCATTGCGCGGCACCACCTTTTTATTCAAAAAATACTGATCCTTCTTGGCGCCAATGACGCGCCTCAAGTAAATCTCCTCCTTGTCGATCTGCAAGCAGTTGAGCACCACATGAAATAGATGTTTGAGTGAATCTATGGCGTTCCACTTACCGGCACACGATTGTCCGAATTGTCAAATATAATCTCTACATAGGCCGAGATGACCCGAGCGCCTGTTCCCTCGTGCAGCAAGGCTTGGCGCTGCTCCGGACGCAGATGGGTGAACTCATCGCTCAGCACAAATTGTATAGCTATTGTGTATTCGTTAGCACAATCAATATTAAATATACGCATATACGCATTGAATGCACCACTCACCGTAGAAGAAATTACTTTTGCCAGAGCCATTGCGTCCGACAACGACGTTGTGACGCTTATCGAATGGTTCCACCACCGTCTGGTCCTTGTAACTTTTAAAGCCTTGTATAATAATCTGGAAATGTGCGTCAGTTAGTTGAGGAGTGGCGCATAGGAGGCCATGATTTACCCACCTGTTTAATGTGCATTTTATTTTGACACAAACACACATAAATTGTCAGCTACACCACAATATTGTTATTTGCGCCAGCACAGGGTTGCCACTTGTTTTTCATATAGCGTTTGTGTTCGAGAAACACTCTACAAGACTTATTCCCGCGTCAGCTGCTCTAATTTGCACTAACAGCATTATGTTAACTTCAAAAAGCGCCATTAGCTGTTCCCACGACAATTTTTAAATTAAGCAATCACTTTAAAATTTTAAATAATAACAGCATTCTTACAGTTACGAGATATGCTGCTCTCATGTTTTTTTTTAAATTATAGATTTCTGAATTAAATAATTAGCCTAACATTAATAATTCTACCCGCATATTAACGGCTCAAATTTGCGTTAACAGAATTATGTTAACTTCCATTAGCGCCATTAACTGTTCCCATGTTAATTTTTAATTAAGAACGCAATTCACGTTTAATAAAATATATTATTATGTGTTTCAGAAACGGTTATTAGCTCTGGTTACTAACTTATTTTAATTATACAGTCAATATTCTAGTAATTTCTAATAACCCAGCAATGAACCGTTATTGTAACAGCTTATACCTGTTTTCAAATTCGCTGGGTATTTTTTTGTGTGCGACATTGAAATGTAAGTTTTAGTATTTTATGTATATCTTCTTGTATGCGATTAGCGGGCACACTGCTAAACGCCATATCAGTTTTAATTCAGACTTTCTTGCGC